GCTGGCATGATGATACTTGTGAACTCTGTCGTTTATAAACAGATTTGTAAAATTAGTTTTTTTATTTAAAAAGATATACGTTTACCTTCAGATTGGTCACACAGAAATTTCATAAAAATTCCGTCAATAGGCCGGTTTTTAAATTAAAACAGCTGATCAATATTTTTATTAAAAAAATTTAGTTTTTTTTTTTATTTAAAACAATATTCACCATGCAAAGAAAAGTATTTTTAAAACTATAGTAACTCGGGCTCGGCGAATTTATCACTGCGCTATACGATATCAGCACACTGCGTAATGTAAGAGTTATCGGCATAGCAATAATCCGCGATAATGGATTAGCACACACGACGAATATTTATAAACACAATCGATTTGATCGGGGAAACTCGATTATAATTCCATACTGATAACATCACTATTAATGAGAATTAAAACGCTACCTTTTTTTTTCTAATACCTTGTTTTAAAAAGCGAATAAGGCACAATACCAGTAAGTGACAGATTCAGATTTGATACAAAGTAAGGCCACGTATTCAGTGGTAAAGAAAGAAAGAAAGAAAGAAAACATTTATTGACAACAACAAAAAGTTAATTAAGTTATGAATTTAAAAAAAAAAGAATTTTACATTTGTTATTGCCAACATGGTCACCACTCAGCATGTGCTGCTTTAGCACTTATAGCTAAACTGGTTGATAGATACAATAAAGAGATGCCCCCCTTTATTAATATTATTTTTTAGCATGCAGCTTATCTAATGATAAGTATTTACCGCCGCCCGTAGGCACCCGTAACATTAGACGAATTGTTGCGCAAGCTTTTTAGAAATTAAGGAACTTTTTTCTTGAAGATTTCAATGTCGTATCGTTACTGCAGTTGAGAAAAGGTCTGGGACACTGCAGCGGCTGGGGAGGCAGGGGTTGCATACCCGTAAGCTCTTATTCTAGAATCGGAGAGATTTCTAGACAAGGGCATTCCTTTATTCTACTACAATACTACGTTAAAATTGTAAAAAACGAACAATGTATTTGCAATTGAAAAAGATTATTTATGTTTATTATGCCATATGTGATTTATGATTCGCACTATTATTACGTTACTGAACGAATTAATAACCATCTCCCTTTTCTGAGTTGGTTAGATAAGGTAGATGGATAAGTTTCAACTAGCACAGATTTATTCATATTGTTAAAAATATTCAATGAGATATCTTTTCATTCGTATCACAATAATCTTAAATCGATTAAAAACAAATAATGATATTACGCAGTTACATTTAATTATTATGGTTGAAAATTATAAAACCTTCATTAATTACAAATAAGACAAAGACGCAAACAAAGTGCCTACTAATTTAAATCATATAACTCAACCACATCGAAATTGCTTCTCCATAGTTAATAGTTTATCTTTTTAAAATACTATTAATAATATAATCTGCAAAATTATCCAATTATCTATCACTTTACTGATTTAATGAACTGTACATATTGATTAATCATTAATATACATTTGCTATATTGTTTTAATAAAAATGGCAATCAATATGATCAACATTACGTTCCCCCATAGACTGCCGTAAGAAACGGTCTTGAATCACCTGCGTTTATCGATTCCTTGTGACATATGTGAGGTCGTTGTCCATAGAGTTTTAATTCTATTAAAAAAAAATTAAAAAAGTATTTATTTCAGTAATTATACTCCCAATATAGGGTGACTTTGTACAAAAGTCGATTGCTTGGGTACCTCTGTCCCATTCGTGTTTCAACCGTAAAGCAGTTGTGTTTGCATGGCTGTGTTTCGGTTTGAAGGGTGAGATATGGTGTGAATTTACAAGATACAGAGGAATAACACCTGAGTCCTCAGGAATGGCAACGCATGGGGTGTATCATGGGCGAAACAGTATACTCTGTTATGTGCATGGTACTGCTCATGTCTATAGGCGACGGTTACCATTTTACATCAGGTGGGCCGTCAGCTTGTTTGCCATTCTAAGTTGTATAAAAAAAAAAGAAAATATAATTTATGAATGTGAAAATTTGTAATGGGAATGAGATATCTGAATTGACATCTAAACATATTTATTACTCGTCCACTAATGAACGATTGAACTTATTTTTAATAAAATTTACTAAATCGCTACAACACACCCTGTATTATCATGCAGGTTATTTTTATTTAAAATTACGCAAATAAAACCGCAGTTAACAGCCGGTGTCTATTATTATATTTTTCTTTGTAATGTCATTGTAAATTATCATTTTAATTTCAATTTTACAACTCTTACATATAAGAGCATATTGCTAACAAAATTTTGATCAATCAGTGCAACGTAATTTTATTTTAATTACTGCGAAATTAATATGTACTTTTATATAAACCCACAAAACATAAAAAAATTAATCTAAGTGATTTAGCTTAATTACAATAAGAAACAAGTCCAAAACATCTTTAATTAGTAATAAAATTAAACAACTGATTCTTTTTTTCTAGGTTTATTTTATCTTACATTATTTATTTATGACATTTAAAACTATAGTTTTAAACCGTTAAATTGTTTTATTTAATTAAAACAATTTTATTATAAAGATTAATATAATGATTAATAAAGCATTTTATATTAAATAACATATTATCCGATAACTGTCAACTGCTGACCATAGACCTCCCCTATAAGGGGGATTTGCCAATAGTTGCCACGCCTGGCGGGCGGGTTAGCAACCGCAGTTAGCAACGTCCCTATTAAAACAACTAATCCTAACATTTTATGTTAAACGTTATATTTTTATTATAGCAATAAGGTGAAAAAAAAATTATAACCTGTTTAAATTTTTATAACTGAACCATTCAATTTGATAACAATTTTCAATCAAGAAATCTATGCTTAAATTGTTACAATAATATTCTTAGTACATTTATTTATATTTAAAGTATCAGTGAAAATATTTATTTTAAATTAATTACAATATTTTTACGAAAAGAACCCCCAAGTGTATGGGCAAAAGGGAACCCCAAAACAAATCTAATTATTTGAGGTTATTTCACGATAAAATAATTCATTGCACTTATGCAAGATGAATTCTTATAAAAATAGCAATAGGTGTCTAATAAAATGTGTTTACAATGAAATAAATAAATTTTATATAAATTAGTGGACCTGTTAAATGTTGTACTGTCATATAAATTAGGGATAAGGGTACCCTAATCACGTAGCGATATGAAATATATTTTACGACCTATTGTCATACCTATTAAAATATACTATTAAATTTCACAAAAATCGAACGATCCGTATCGTAGGAGCGCGACCGCAAACACCGTGATACGCAAATATCTATTTATTTATATATATATATATATATATATATATATATATATATATATATATATATATATATATATATATATATATATATATATATATATATATATACATATATATATTCTATAAAATTATATATATTGTCTATAAGGCAATTATAAATTATATTGAACAAATTGATTCATTAATAATATATATTATAAAACACTAGTTTCATCTTCACTTCTATTGTGTAATTAAAATTTATTTAATTTATGAGCAGCAATTTATCTACTTAAATTAAATCTAAGTACACTTATCTAAAAGATTTCAATTAAAAATCTTAAATACATTGCAATTATTTAAGTGAACATTCCTACCTGTTTAAATGTCCACACATTTTTCAAATCAAAGGTAATTTATCAATATATTTGCGATTTATTATTAGACAACAAGATTATATACAAATCTTTCCATTATAATAAATAATTACAACGAAAACTGCAGGATAATTACGTTGAGTAGATACTAAAAGTAATTAACTTAAAAACATAATTCGAAAATAAACAAATGTTTATCCGCATTAACTAAATCTGTCAATAGTTGTAACAACCAAATTAACTTATAACATTTACAAATGAGTCGATCAAACAAAATTGTTTTAACGACCAATTTATTTAGGGTAAGAACTTTTGTTTGATTTAGTGCGCTATAGTAATGTCTTGTTGCAAATAATCTATTGTTTACTTACAATATTAGCGCACTAATGTGTTCCATTATTTTTGAATGCAAATCAGTATGGTTATCAGATGAACTTGGCCACTTATTGTCCAAGTGTATTAATGAGGTATGTCCAAGTACAATGCATTCAGCACTTGAATATCGATACAGATATTAATATTAGAATAAAGAACTGCGCGTATGATTATTTTAAATTATTGTTAGAATGCTTAATTATATGGTATATCTATGTCATGAGTAATTTTTTATTTTATTTTAGAATTTATACGCATGTATAAATTTAATTATCATCTATGGAATTTTATTTATTTTTAATTGTATAAATACGTAGATATGTTTTATTTACAGCACAGAAACAAAATATACTTATATATAATTAAGAAAATTATGACCAATTTGTTAAAGTTATAAAATTAGCTACATGTAACCCTTCCTTTATACAAAACAATACGCGTATACACCAGATTCACGCAACACTACACACACAAATAACACACTCTTTTACACTAATTATTGCTGAACTTCCAGTGATGCGACATATCAAATAAATATCTCCATATTTTTTTTTTATTATTTAATTTAATCTACCCTCCAAAAATAAGCATAATATTGTTTGGTATACAAATTGGGAATCTGTAATTGGCTAATGTATGGTGTAAATGTAATATTTTTAATTATTCTAGATATAAGCTGTTCCAGATGTAATATTAAAACAAATAAATAAAGCTTTATTTAAGGACGCACTGCACTCCGCTTTACGAATATGAACCCGAAGTGAAAAATTGTAAAAATACCCAGTTAATAAAATAAATAAAATACGTCCTGTAAGCATTACCATAAGCACATAATTTAAATAATTTCTAATTACACGTTTTCTTAATAATTACGATTAGTACAAAAACCAATATATAATAATAAAAAAAAACCTATTAATTAAATAACTGTGAAAAATCTAACCTGCGGCAAATCACTAGGTGCCTCTGATTTTACGGTGTTGGCTGCTGCCCACGCCTCAGCGAACGTCTCCATTGCACTTTGAAAGTCCATCTTGTTACAATTCACGACATCGACATGCCGAAGTATCACTCTACATGTGCACGGTGCGTCGGACACCGACAACAAACACGAAACACGTATAAACCGAGCGGCTGGCGGCGCGCTACTAGTTCGGCCCCGCCCAGCGAACCGCCCGCAAGGAGAAAAACCGATAGCGGACAAACCTTCCCATTTGAGAGATTTTCTTTTTTAAGCCGCTATTTTAACGAGTTTTTTTTTCTTCTAAAGCCCAACCCACGATGGTGGTTGGGCGTTTGGGATTATTTACACTTGTAATTCACAGATTGCTACAGTGTGATGCCTAATTTGTTGTATAGAGGGGTGTTATCTTGGTTAAGCGTAGAGCGTTTTTGTTTTGATTCGCTATTTACGCTCGTTTGCATGTATTGCGTTTATTACCGCGTAGTCCAAATTAAAGATAATGATCATTCGGAATTAATTAGGTAACTGCTTACGTGAAAATATTGTTGTGTCTAAAGTGTAGATAATGTGTGGTAGGTACATACTGATAATACAGAGATTTATTATTGCGAGTTTTTTTTTTTAGTCCATTATACCTAAATCTTTCGTGATTATTGCTTAGTTACCGATATATTTTATTTTATTGAATACTTATGTATATTTAAACATTTATTTTGTGGTGAATTAATAGTTTACTATTAAGTAACTATTCAACATTTATGACTATAAATCCCCATAATTTAACATAGCTACGAGACACAAATTATAATCATGACATGATTTTTTTTAAACTTATAAAACTAATCAATAGAATGAAAACGGATGTCATTTTCATTCTCATGATTGGTTTTTTAAGCCACCTTCAGAAATTATAAGACAATCCATCCGTATTTTAAGTGACTTCCTTAAACAGAATGTACGCAATTCGTATGGTTTTTTTTTTGTGGCTATGTTACAATCACGTTGCCAATTCTGAACAGGTTTTGATAAATCTTTTTTTTTTTTTTATTTAATGCGCTTTACGGACTCTTCTTTGGTCCCAAATTAATTTACGAATAAAATATAAATGAAAAAGAAAGAAATAAGTAAATGATTATGTATTGACATAATTATTGCTTGACGCGCACAAAAAAAAAAAGAAAAAACAAAGACAATTGAGAACCTCGTCTTTTGAAAGTCGCTCAAAAACATCAGTAAACTTAATTAAGCGAATTTCTTTACAAATTGAACCGTCAGTATCAATATGCTCCTAAATTTATAATTTAAAAAGCTATCAAGGTGGCTAATTGCAATATCCTTGCAAAATGGCGCCGCCGCGCCGTCCTAGGAAGCATTTTTATTCATTATATAAATCACAGTGGCTTCCCGTCTTCACGGGATGTAGAAAAAAATGTCGCGGCTTCACATAATTTTGTACGTGGCCGTTAGCGAGCGTTTAACCAATATTACCTTCCGGGGAAGTTAATTTTTCTTAATTTCTCCTACTTCCGAAATGATCTCCCTTGTGGATATTTGAAATATTGTTATGGGAAATGTGCGCGCGGAAAAAAGCGAGTGAAAAAGCGCTATATAACTTAAGATAGACTTATGTTATATATATTTTTATGTTCATCAATATCATATATAATATCAATAATCATCTGCTCTCGATTATTTGGTTTGGTTTATTGTGGAAACTTTACTGATTTATGTTATGGTTATGTATACTATTTTATATGTTTTAGATATTATATGTTTCCCTTTCAAAGTAAAATAAAAATAAAATAAATGTTTATGGCGTCTTTGATATCACAAAGACAATAAAGAAAAATATATCCGTAATAGTATAAAATAACAAAAATAGTACTACACAAACACTATTTTTGCCGTGTGATCCCGGCATAGAATGGGTTACTCCTTCCATTCCCGTAACTGTCGTAAGAGGCGAATTTAATAGTCGAGTGATGGGTAGCAGCGTCCATCTTAAAACGCCACCGAAGCCAACTTGCCTGTTGTCAACCCGCCTGCCAAGCTTGGCAACTACTGGCATAGTAGTTTATTTTGGGGAAGGCCTATGTTCCGCAGTAAACACTTAACGACTGATATGATGATGATGATTAATACCCATGTGGATAGATATCACATATGGAGATTCACCAATGACTTTAAAATGTCTTATAACTGACCTATGGTTTCTTCAGGGTCGGCAACGCACGCGTAATACCTCTGGTATTGCAGGTGTTCATAGGCTACGGTAACCGCTTACCATCAGGTGGGCCGTACGCTTGTTTGCCACCTCAGTGGTATAAAAAAAACCTATAGTTAATGACAATGAGCATTCTACAGAGATTTTTCCAAGAGGCTACAGCATGAGGTTCTTCAAAAAGTGTGTATTAAAGTTTCTTCGGAGTTGGCAACGCCCATCCCTGGTGTTACAGGCGATCATAGGCTACAGTGACCGTTCATCATCAGATGAGCTGTATGCTTGTTTGCCACCTTCGTGGTATAAAAAAATCGTAACATATTACTCTTATATTTTACGCTCTTGGTGATGTAGTTGGTTAACACACTGGGTCGTATTCCAACGATCGCAGGTTCAATCTCCACACAGTATGGTCTGCTGATTTCTATATGCAATATGTATGCTTAAATACTTTTTTATAAATACAAAAAAGTATTTAATGCTGTCTGTCAGTCCTGTGTAATACGTTCAGTAATAATTATTTACATGTATTTATTATATTCCAACGAGAATAGTGATTGATAGAGAAATAGAATTTATGATCTCTATGTAATTAGCTACAATTGTTAATATGTAAATATGGATGTATGTGCATATGTGTATATATATTTTACTAAATGTGAAATACAAAAAACTAAGTCTGCAATAAGAACCGACAACCGCTCCGCCTGACGATCTAGCCAAAAGTGAAGTCCCGGATGTCCCGCTGGTCCACGAACAACAAGCTCCTATTTAGCATTGTTTATATGTATATATTTACACTATTAGGTTAGTACCTGTAAACAGAAATATGTATATACAATAAATAAATAAATAATCATCACAGACCAAATAATATATTGCTTCCTTCTTTCAATTAAGCTCAATTATTTCAGTAATACCTACCTAACCCCAATTTTAAATCGCAGGAATGTATAATTCCAATCCGACGAACACAAAAATCTTTCATCTATCTACTGTTAAACTTCCAACTCATTCCCCGGTGATATAAACTCTCATAATAAACAACAATAAACCAAACGACAGCGATAGGTTTGCCTCTGTCATGGTAGATTCTAATATACTCGGCGAAATGTCGGCTTGCCGTGTCTTACATTCACCATAATGGCAATAATCGGTAGGTGCCCCTGACAACCCCATTAGAGAACATAGTCGTGAGCATATTGATTTATTTCGATATTCTTTTGTTAAAGATAATCTACCAAATATATTATTGAATATCAATAGAACATTTATAAGAGGGAGGTAGGGATATTGGAGGGGAATCTATCGTAAGTAGGGCAACGGTATCGTTTGAGGCTTTATACGGGACATTCTTTGTTTCAGATAAAACAATGGCTCGAGGGATGAGAGAGCACTGAACGTTCTGGAATAATAATTGATAATTTTGTTATACATTATTACTTGTACATTTAATGTTTGATTTTTTTGTGTACTCGATATCCTGTACCCAAAGATTGTCGGGAAAAGATTATTTAATGATAAAAACACCTTTTCTGTCATTTTATTAATATTTGCAACTGGTGCAATAAAATATAAGTACATTTTAATTTAATATAATAACTACTGGTTTAAATACGTGTAATCAGGTCAAGAAAGCTCGATTAGTTCCGGGACAATTTGGGACCCTTAATCGTAAGTGGTTTAATCAGGCTCACGTTTATTACACGTAACCTAATTACACGTAAGTTAAACTGGTAGTTATTACATTAAAATATAATGTATATTTATGTAACTTTTAACAATAAAGTCCATATTTAGATCCTTATTACATAATCCGTAATCCTTTAATACTTACAAACTCCCCCACACAAATCTAAATATTTCGAAAAACGAATTTTGACACATCGAAATGTTACATAAATAGAAAGCCTACTGGAAAAATATTAACCCAGTAATTCATGAGTACACGAAAAGCGGAGTAAACACTGACTATTCATAACTGTCTACAATTAGCACTTTGGCTCTTGTCTTTTAGCGTCCATCGATTTAGTCAAGTACATACAGAAAAGTACCTAGTAGCCAAGTCGTTTTATAACCATTATAAACTTGAGTGATCTTACTACAAAAAATATTTTTAACACTACTTATTTAAACTGTGTTTAATATAACTCTTTATTAAACGTTGTTTTGTCAGTGTAATAATGTTTACGAGTATTTGTAATTTTATATATCAAATCTTGTAAATTACTATAGTATTATTACTACTTAATTATTACTTTAAATAGCTTTTATTTTTAATAATATAGACTTTTTTAATTAGACATAAACGAATGTTAAATACCTTTTGTAGTAAGACTTATAAACATTTATTCTCATCATTTACACTCAAAATATTCAAAATTTATTCACATTAAAACATATGCAATGCAATCTTTTTTGATGCATGATAATGGAATGGTAACCCCGTCTACGCTATCGGTATACACTGGCGGGGCACCAGTGACTGATGATTAGTGAGGATGAAAAGGCAGGTCAGTTAGCCCATCGTGACGAATTCGACGATAAATTAGTCACGATAGTTTCCAAGGGGAGCCGCGACCTGATAAAGTATATTTTTAGCAATGGGGACTAACCTCCCCATTACAAAAAATTCCTTCCCCCCTGGGGGAGGCGTGTAGGTACTGTCGGACACCAAACGGCTAAAAACCACAGTGTTCTTCGTCGTGCCATGATGCTGGGGTCTTAGGTACCCGGGTGAACTTGACTGCGACCCCAACAGCTAGGTTTGCTTGCCGATTACAGGTCACAATTAAGGAGCAGATGCAAGATTGTCGGCACCCGCACGGGACGGAGACAGACCTAACCTATAAAAATCAAAATTGACAACAAATCATCAAACATTATCTATATATAAACACATTTTAAATTAATAAAACTACACAAATTAAACTCAATCTACTAATATTATAAAACAATTGGAAACAACCAAATATTCACCGATGTGC